CTTGTTCTTCTTGTTCTTGTTCTTCATCTTCTCCTCCTCCTCCTCCTTCTTTTTAAGTATGTAACTATTTTATTTATCAGAAATAAAATAACTATTTTATTTATAAGAAAAAACACAACAGCAAGTTCTGTGTTGGCTTCAATAAGACCAAATGGTTACTCTTTCACACAGCTACTACACTCCAAAATTGAAGTCAACACTGTCATCACTACAAATTACTTGTTGAAATAATCTACCTGAAGAAAGAAAATTAGGAAAAAGAATTTAAACAATTCCTCCAAACCACACATTTATAAATATTGTCGTATTTAAAATGTTTGAAAGGCAAGAATTAGTGGAAAAGTAGTTTTCTTTTGGCAACAGAAGAGAAGAAACAGCAACAGTTTACCAAATGCTCTAGGAATCTACAGCTGCACTGTTCTGATCTGCACTTGAGCAGTGTTGTTGTGGACTACAGAATGCTTTATACTCACCTCTCTCAAGTCAAGTCTACAGAAACCCCTTTGCAACCAGTGTTTGTAATATGCACTACCCTGATGAGAAGCTACAAACCGCCTAAATGTAGCTAATAGTAAGTACCTAAGAAGGTATGTTCCCACTAATGATGGGAAAGCTGGCAGATCCGCTGGCTTAAAGGGTTTTCAAATATTTTAACAGAAATATGTATGTCTTCTTGAGTCCATGGAGTTTAGAGGACACTGTTTCTTCTCTGTTTTTGACATAAATGTAGAGGGTCAAATCGCTACATTGTAAGTAGGTATAAAGCCACTAGAGAAGGGGCCATAACTATTGTGACTTAAGGACATGCTCAGATTAGGAACATGGGCCTCATGAGTGCCCATCATCAGTACAAAGGCTATATGCCCCAATCTTCTGAGGGAGTCAGAATAGACACTCCTATAATACAATGAAAGAATGGCAGACAAACTCACACCTTATCTCCTGATTAATTGGAGCAGTTAACACTCAATCTGAAGACACTGAATAACCTCAAACCTCTTCAACAGAAAGATGGAGAGCTTCCAACTTCAAAGAAAAAACGTCAGGCAGGGGAGAAGATTATGTACACCCTGGTCTCAGTTCCACATGGAAATGACATCGCATCCCTTTTTGAACTTGATGCCACAACTCTTCAGAGAGCTGACTGCCTGGTTCCAAGGTAAAAAGAAATATAAACTAAAAAGAAATAAATAAGTACAAAGAATTAGGATGAACAGATGTTTCTTTGAATAGTTTTCCCAACAGGTACTACCTGTTGGGAAAACTATTATATATATTATATAATATATAATATATTATATTATATAAAAAGTATATTAATACAATTTTTACAATAGAAGAGAGCATGAGTAAAGAAAATGCATGCAAAGCATTATGCCTCTCTCATGTGAACAGATTAACATAGCGTGTTTTATTTGTATAAATAATTAAAATGTGCAGTACCAAAGAAGCTCTGAAAAATTTATTAGAGTCATTTATTCTTATTAATGGTGTAGCCTTTGGTCACAACAATGAAAAATAATCTAATAGTATTTTTAGTCTAAATTTTATCATTTACCTGTCAGATTTCCTGCTTAGCTCATTTACTTGTTCATTTTGTTAGTGGTTCAGCTAAGAAGTATTTGTTGACTGCCAATTACAAGGCAGGACATGCCGTGGGAATCAAGATGAGAAATGGGGTCATCAGACCAATGGACACATGAGCTCAGGTTGCTCTCAAACTTGTGGGCCACAGTCAGTGCCCCAAGTCAGGTCCTGCCACCTGTGCTCATTAAGCCAATTAAAAGAGCCAAATTAAAAACAGAAAGTTGAAAAAGGAGATTTATTCAATGAAGCCACACTGGGAAGAGATATGAAGAGATCTGAGAACCCCCTTGTTGTGAGTCCGTCTCCCCCGCCTCCTTGCTCACTAATGCAGCCCGTGAAGACATGCACTCTGCTGCACTGGCCTGACCCAAGTGTCTGTCTTCTTGTATGCTGTCTTAGTTAGGGTCTCCATTGCTGTGCAGAGACTATGACCAGGCAACTCTTATAAAGGAAAGCACTTCAATGAGGCTGGCTTACAGAGGTTTAGCCCGTTATCATCATGGTGAGTGGCATGCAGGCAGATATGGTGATGGAGAAGGAGCTGACAGTCCTACATCTTGATCTGCAGGCTACAGGGAGTGAACTGTGCCCCACACTGGGCATGGCTTCAGCGTGTGAGACCTCAAAGCCCACCCTCACAGTGACACACTTCCTCCAACGAGGCCACGCCTATTCCATCAAAGCCACACCTCCGAATAGTGCCACTCCCTATGGGGGCTATTTTCTTCCAAAATACATACGACATATGGGGTCCTTGATTATTACTCTGACTTAACTCATTTTAGATCTAAGTCAGCAAAAATGATGTCTTTCTTGAATTCAATGTAGGAGAATTTGGTTAAAGATGGTGAGAACTCTCCGCCAGGAGCACAGACCCACCACAAGGTTACTAAGTCTCACTTTGCACAGTGGTGGTAGCTACTGCTATTCAGAAGGGTTGAGGTTCTTTTCCCTGCTGTGAAGGATTTTGTGTTAATGTGATTCAGCTGTCATTCACTGTTTATAGCTAACAATAAACTTTTAACACTAGCCACTCTTACATCCTCATACGAAATCTGTGAATACTTTCTATGGGCCAAGCCCCATGCCAAGTTCTTCTTGACTATTTTCTGGCTTCATCCTGGGTAACTCTCATAGGTTGGAGATCAGAAGTCAGAGGTCAGAGGCTGAGTTAGAGCAGGTCTTCTCAGACTGGCTGAGAAAGATCTGAGCAATGGGTCCTGGCCCTTCTGAGAGCAATGAAGTCAGTCTTGCTGCTGGTGAGATGTGGACACTGCATCTCTTAAAAGCATTACCCGCGGGATTCCAATATGGAATGCAGTATTTCTCAAACCTTAAACTCCTACTGTATGATCTTTTCCTGGAGGAATGTGAACAAATGTTCCCGAACATGAGGCACCAACAACAGACCAAAGGAAAGATTTCACTCAAGTCCAGTGAGTAGACCGGGGAGTTTATGAGGGGTTTCTTACAGGAATGTGTGTAACCCCAAACAGCTGTGTCACTGAAAAGCTTGACTCCAGCATGCATGGCAACCTCCACATGCTGTACAGATGGCACCCCTCTTCAGCTAACCTTTATCTACCATGTATTCTAGAACTTCATGAGACTATATGTAGTTGGGAAACGCAGAAAGTAGTGGCTTCCTCAGCTGAGGGTTTAATTACCCCTCCCCACCTCCCCATGAGGGAACAACAGGTCCAATCTTGGGGGACAGTCACACCTGTTCTGATTAAGATGGTAATGGCCCTTATGCTCAGAGGACAGAGTTCCACCGAGGTGCTTTAGCCTGGTGAAATCCCAGGTCAGCCATGGGGATCTGCTAGATACAGTTTGTGATTCCTTGGTCTGCAGTGGGGCTGGGTGAGTGATCTAGCAAGCCCCAGACTGGGCTTCTTGGGTTAATGGACTAGAGTAGGGTTCCCAGTCTTTCCTGCCCAATAGACTCTTAGCAATCAGGACCAGTCCTGATGCCTACCTCCCACTCTAGACACTGGTTTAACTGGTGTGTGTTACAACTTAGACTTTGGGTTTATAGGAGCCTCCCAGGTGACAGACAGCAGAGTTTGGGAGACGGTGACTTAGAAGGACAAACTAATTGGCCTGTCTGTGCTCATAAGGTGGAGTTTGATCTTGGAGCATGGAATGAAAAGTCTGCCCTGAACCATCACTCCACAGCAGGGCCCTTATATCATAGACAACCAGACCATGTCAAACCTGACAGCCAGCAAATACCTGTGACACAGTCCCAGAGTTACTTAGTTCCTAAATCCTTATAGATCATGTTATTACTCTGTGTCCTCTACTCAGTTTGCAACTCAATAGTGTTGGCCGACTCCAGGGGTGCATCCAGACTGAGAGCATCCCTGAGCTGAAAATCTAATCTGAAATGACCCAAGTAGTTTTTGAGAACCAATATGATGCCACAAGTAGAAAATCCTACACCTGACTTTGTGTGATGGATTGCAGCTAAAATGCAGGTATACTTAAAATATTGTATAAAATTACCTTTGGCCTACATGGCTAAGGCACACATGAAATATAAATGAACATCATGTTTAGACTTGAGTCTTATTCCAAGATAGCTAATTAAAACTGACATGGAAATGCTTTAAACAACAACAACAACAACAACAACAACAACAACAACAACAAACCCCTGAAACCTCAACTACTCTGGTTCCAGGCTGCCTTTGTTGCTTTTCTAATGCTGTGAAGGGACACTATGACCAAGGCAACTTGTAAAAGAAAGCATTTGGGGATTCATGGTTCCAAAGGGTTAGAGTTCATGACCATCATTGTGGGGAACATGGCAGCAGGCAGGCATGGTGCAGAGCGGTAGCTGAGTGCTTACATGCTGAGCAATAACCACCAGGCAGAGAGAGAGAGAGAGAGAGAGAGAGAGAGAGAGAGAGAGAGAGAGAGAGAGAGAACCAACTATAATGGGGTAAGACTTTTGGAGCTTCAAAGCTGACCCCAAATGACACACCTCTTCTAACAAGGCCACCAGCTGGAAAACAAGCATTGAAACATATGAGCCCATGGGAGTCATGTATCATTTAAACCACATTACAAGCATTTTGAAGAAAGGAAGGTCACCTGTAGTGGAAAATGTGAGAATCAAATAGAGGAGCTGGCCACCACGTAGTGTGCTATGCTCCCATTTCCTATAGCTTAGGACAGTGGGGGACAGCAGGTGGAGATGACATCATCTACCTAGGCCAGTGCAGAGAATACTGGGCTCAGACAGGCGTCTCTGGTTATTTGGACAAGGGTTAGGTGCTTGCCATTCTAGACTGAAGCTCACTGTGTACTTTATCTGCTGTTATGAGTGAGCGAGAACCCTGATGACGAGTTTCTCTGAGGCGTGTGACGTCATGTCTTCTGTTTGGTCCTAAAATGTTACACCTCAGGCTGTGTGACGTATTTACATCTTAGCTTTAGGCTGAACACTAAGCGACAGGCTTTTTATTTTAATGGCACTGTGCACTCTTGTTGAAGAAATTGTTGGAATAAGGGAGGAGGTGGGAAAGGCGCTGTTTGAGTAGCTCTAGGTGCCCTCTCCAGGTATTCTGCCACGGTGCCGACACAGGTAATTTTTGTTACTGCTGACTCAAGAAATGGTCAAGTGTGGAACTGTTGCCCCTGGAGGACACAGGGTGTGAGTCTTGTGAGCTCATGGCTGAAATGCACCTGCCAACTGTCCAGTCAGCACACAGCTTGTGTGTGTGTTTGGTAAAGACACCTTATGTAGTATGCATTGTTGATTCTTCACACTGAATTAGTGGCAAACAGACCTAACTCATGCCCAAAGAAACTTATTTACCACAAACATTTTCTTATATTTTTTTGAGGCAGGAGAGACGGTGCAGTGGTTAAGAACCACTGCATACTGCTTTTCTAGAGGGCCTGAGTTCAGTTCCCAGTGTCCACACAGGTTGCTCACAACCTCCTGTAACTCCAGCTCTAGGCGATCTGGTGCCCCCTTCTGGCCTCTATGGGCACTACACTCAATGATGTACACAGAATTTAAATAAAATCTTAAATTTTAAGTTAGCATACAGTGATGGCTTCACAGTGGCATCTTCCTGTACATCACCAGACTTTGTTCTCATTCCCCGCCCTCCTCCTCTCCTCTCCTCGTCACCCTGACAATTGTTTTCATCTTCTCACTTAGGAACTAGAGTCGGTGCTCCCGAATTAAACACCACGACTACCAACAAACCCCCAGAAATCTGAGAAGCGTCACTAAGGGAACAAAAGATGTGGTTTATGGTGTGAGGTCTGAGCTAGAAGTCCAAGCAGCTGGCTGCTCAGCCTTGTCTTGAGATTGTGCCTTTTGGATGATTCAGAACTAGTTATTTATTTAGCTGCTCTAAGTATGCCCTCAATGCCACAGCAACTCTGTGATTCAGGGGCTATGTCTTAGAGTTTTATTGTTGTGAAGAGACATCATGACCATGGTGACTCTTATAAAGGAAACATTTAATTGAGGTGGCTTGCTTACAGTTTCAGAGCTTCAGTCCATCATGATCATGAAGGGGAGCATTTTGGCAGACAGACATGGTGCTGGAGCTGAGAGTGCTGCATCTTGCAGGCAACAGGAAGTCAACTGACTGTCACACTGAGGGAAGCTTGAGAAAAAGACCTCAAAGCCCACACCCACAGCGACATACGTCCTCCAACAAGACCACACCTACTCCCCAAAGGCCACACTTCCTAATAGTGCCACTCCTTTGGGGGACCATTTTCTTTCAAACCACCACAGGCTATAGGTACATTTAGGTTAGTAGCTTTCTGGGGACAGGATAAACTAGTCTTTGTGGACCACACCCCACAGTGGACCAGTGAGGTCTTAGAATTTGCATTTTTGACAAGGTTCCTGGTGATGCTGATGGCCCAGGAGCCCCTGGCCCAGGAAGTGAAGCTTTGTGTTCCAGAGCAGCCTGAATCTAAGAATTATTTCTTATTCCAGATAGATCCTGAGACAGTTACTAGTCTATGACATTTAATGTTCATATATGGATTTGCTGAATATGTCAATATGCAGAGGGTGGTAATGAAAAATATTGTCTGTTTGTGTAGGTCAGAGAACAGCTTTGTAGAGGTGGTTCTTGCCTTCCATCTTCAGTGGGTTCTGGGGATTGAACTTAGGTCCTCATCACTGGGTAGCAAGCCCCTTTGTCCTCTGAGCCCTCTTGTCAGCTCTCCGTGTTTTTATATCATTTGCTTTTAGGAACTCCTATGTGCGGTTAAGGCATTTATGCACCAATACGTGGGTAACAAGCACCAGCATCCCTATAGACACGGAGGAAGAGAGGCCCGTCATGCTGAAAGTAAGTGTGCCTGGGGCTGGTTTGTCTGCCGGCTGCTGCGTTCGCAGGACTGAGTGTGACTGACAGTCCATCTTTCAGGCATTAGAACTGGTTGCAGCTGATTGCGTGGGAGGGAATGTCTACCAGTGGCTCAGGTCTCTGACCTGGGTGGCAGGGCTATGGCTCAGCAGGGTGGGATGCAGATATCAAAAGGGCATGAGAGAATTCCAGGGGCATCTTCTCTACTTGGAATTATTTGAGACAGAGGAGTGGCATGTGAAAGAAACACTCTTTGGGGTCTCTTCAGGAACAGGGCAAGAAATGGGCATGGAAAGCCTTTCATTGTGATGATGGTTTTGGAGTTTCTCTGTCTTGTCCACACCCACCCAGTGTATCTGGGTACTGAGGATCGTGGTCTCTAGAGACTGTGCAGTTGTTCAATGGAAACACATATTGCAGATCGGAACCTGCCAGACTAAAGAAGACAAAGAAGCCTTTGCCATCGTGTGTGTCCCGCTGTCTGAGGTCCGAGACTTGGACTTCGCCAATGATGCCAACAAAGTGCTGGCAACCACGGTCAAAAAGCTGGAGAATGGCAGCATCACTCAGAACGAGAGGAGGTGAGTGGATTTCAAATGTGAAACTGAATCCTTAAGGGTCAACGGTGGACCTGGGTGTGGGAGTGAAGGCTTGTGATTCCAGCACTCAGGAGGTGGAGGCTGCAGGGTCAGGAGCTCAAGGTCATCCTCAGCTGCATAGCAAGCTCAAAGCCAGCCTGGGCTACATAAGACCTTATCCCTCAAAACTAGTTAAAAAAAAATCTAATCTCCTAAACAACAACAGCAGCAGCGGCAACAACAACCACCGCTACCACACACACACACACACACACACACACACACACACACACACACACGTCAGTTCTTACAGTAAACCAAATGGCTCTAACAGAACATTTAGAATATTCTCCATAGCAGCAGCCTGGCTTCTGATGATGGTTCAGCAGTGAAGAATGCTTGCCAGCACCCGCAGCAGATGGCTCTTAACTACCTGTGACTCTAGGTCCAAGGGCCTTGCACCCTCCTCTGGCCTCCACAGGCACTGCACTCACATGCACATATACACATACACATACACACACATAAATAAAAATAGAAAATAAACCTAGAAATGTCTGATGGAATACTTATTTTTTCCATTTTATCTTGGCTTGAAAACAGATGATTTCAGTTTCTCTGTGCTCTTTTTTTTTGGAAAGCTTTTTAAAGATTCACAGGACCATGCTTGATTTGGTGTTTAGATGTAGAGTTTTGTATTTTTTGGATTCATGATACATTTCTCAGCTCTGATACCACAGACTGATCAAACATGTAATATCAGAAAAGAAAGTGTGCTTCTGCTTGTGTCACTCACTCAGAGAAACTGGGTCCTTGATTGATTATTCATTTATTTATAAGTATGTGAGAAAAAGAAGGCTATTGATAGCTAGAAGTCATTGTGTCTCCACTTTGTGCCCTAATTCTTCACAGAGCACTCCAATAGCTGTTCCCCATTTTGCCTAAAGGAAGTGGCGGTTAAACTCCACTGGGTGAAAGTACATGCATAGTAAGTGGGGGATCCAGTCATGTGACTGACAGCTGGGTGCTCTCAGGACCTCAGAGCAAAGATGCCCCCCCCCCCCCCCCCGCCATGCTCTGCTGTAGACTTTGAACAATAAGGAGTCATTTGCGGAGTCTCTGGCTGTGTGCATTGGTGTTCTCACCTCCAACCATTGCCATACAAGCCCCTTGCCAAACAGCCCAGCCAGGAATGACAAATGTAGTTCTTTTTTACTCTTTACTCTGTTCTTTGCTCTTTTGGGGGTCCACCACCCAGCTCCCAAATAAAACACACATGGAGGCTTATTCTTACTTATGAATGCCTGGCCTTAGCTTGGCTTATTTCTTGCCAGCTTTCCTTACCTTAAATTATCCCGAGTACCTTTTGCCTCTGGGCTTTTACTGTCTCTATTTCTGTATACTTTTACTTCTTACTCCATGTCTTGCTGTGTAGCTGGGTGGCTGGCCCCTCGAGTACTCCTCTCTTCTTTTTCTTGTTTCTTGATCCTCTCCTATATATTCTCTTGGCCTGCCAGCTCCATCTATCCTTTTTTCCTGACTCACTTTTGGCCATTCAGCTCTTTATTAGACCAATCAGGTGTGTTAGGCAGGCAAAGTAACAGCTTCACAGAGTTAAACAAATGCAACATAAAAGAATGCAACACATCTTTGTATCATTAAACAAATGTTCCACAGCATAAACACATGTAATACATCTTAAAATAATATTCCACAACAGGCAAAGTCAGAGAAGAAAATGCTGTGGCTCATTGGCTTCATTCCTCAGTTGGACATTCTTGAACATCTGTTCAAAAGAATTCCCAGAACGGAAGGGCAGAAATGTCCAGCCTTGTTCTAGACACCCCTCACTTAAGGCCATCCATGTTGGTCATAGTTGAAGAATGATAAAATTGTACTATGCTCATACAATAGAATAGCTGGGAATAGGAGTGAACTATTACATATGTGTGATGATGTGCGTGACTCTAACAAGTTTTGAACTGAGTAGGAAGGAAACAGGATGGATAAACCCACCATAACAGTCTGTGAGTGTTCTGTCTCTAAGTTCATAAGTTCCAGAGACCTTCAGACATACACCATACTGTATACCTCTTAACTAAACGTTGTCAGTATGCTATGCTGACAAACAGTCAAATGGTTTTCAGCTTCCTCTGTTCCTACCACTGCTTTCCCTGTGGGAGCCTGGGTTTGACAACTGTCCTCATATGTCTACCCTGTGGTGGCCAATGAAGGAGGCCAGGAGCAGACACCGGCCACTCACATGGCTACAAGAGACCAGAGCCAACTCACAACAGAAGTGCATTTCAGTGTGCAGATGGGGTGTTTTCCTCTTGTGCCTCTCTTGATGAATCCATTTCTGTCTGTCCCTCTCCTGCATTCACAGGAAGTTACACGCTTCTCTAAGAGGTCTCCTTAGGTAAACTTGAAGTATCTATTGAGTGTTCAGCCTCTCTGGGTGCTTCTTTCTACAGGCCATTCTCCCCCAGTTCTTGTGGGAGGGAACTCAACCCTTCATGATGTGTCTTAGGAGGTTGGTGGATCAGGATGACCCCTGACCCTATTTTTTTTTAATTTCTCCTTTCACTTTCCTTCTCTTCTGCTTTAGTGAAAAATAATAGCAAGGAGACTGTGCCTGAGAACTGGGAAGTTGCATTTGCTGATTCACCCTCATCCTGATGCTGTCCATGCTTCAGAGAAGTGAATGGGTTCTTAGTCCCCCACTTTAGAATTCAGGAGAAAACTCTTTCTGAGAATCACTGGCAGCCCTGATCCCCCACTGAGAGTGAAGTTACTATTAGCTGTGCTTTTTATTCAAAACTAAGGTCCAAGGGAGGGTTTTGGAACACTGCAGACCTCCCTCCAAGGGCCTGTGCTGCTGGATCTCGCTCTTCTCCCCACTGTGCTTTTTGTAGTCACCCCACGAAGGGGCTCTGTGGGTGCAGACCTCGGTCAGGCTTCAGCCTCCTCAGCCTTAGATGTTTTCATTTGAATTTTCTCTTTGTATTCTACATGACTGCACCAAGAAAGCAGAGTGTGAGGGGTGCGTGCATGCGTCATGGGAGGGAGGGTCCTGAGGTGCCAACTGCTACCTGGAGCCTGAGGGCACAGCACACACTTCTTACCGTGCTGCACTCTGTGGGACCTAATTTGTCCACAGAGGGTCGGCTGATGCAGCCAGTTCCGTGAGATTGAGCTCTTGATAGGTGCCAGGTGCTGGCCACACAGATGTGCTCCTTGGTTGCTGCAAAGGTAAAGGCTGTGTGTCCTTGTTTTCATGCAGCTAGAGGCTGGGGACATGGCTCAGTGGCAGGATGCTTGTCCAGCCAGCCCAAGACCAGGCCACACTTGCTTCCAAACCCAGAACCCTCAAGAAGCCCACCAGGTCTTCATGCAACAAACAGGGCAGAGTGGAGATTCTCATCAACACGTCATATAAATTATGATCTACCCTTCCTTCCTTCCTTCCTTCCTTCCTTCCTTCCTTCCTTCCTTCCTTCCTTCCTTCCTTCCTTCCTTCCTCCCTCCCTCCCTCCCTCCCTC